TTTGTCTTATTTTGTGGGCCAGTGGCATGATGCCCATTTTTGAGCAGATTTATTAAATGGTTCATAAGTAAACAATTCTTAAATGCATTTCATACATGCAGTGAACTGCTTGTTCAGTTTAATTTTCGTTTATTTTTAAAATGTATTTAAAGGGATAGTTCACCCAAAAATGAAAATGTTGTCAGTAATTACTCACCCTCATGTTGTTCCAACCCCGTAAGAAGACTTTCGTTCATCTTCAAAACACAAATTAAGAGATATATATATTTTTTTTAAATCTGAGAGTTGTCTGACTCCTCCATAGGCTTGTATTGTAATTGAAACCGGCCCAGAAAAGTTAGTAAAAACACTGTTAAAATAGTCCAAGTGACTACAGTGGCTCATCCTTAAGTTTATCAAGCGACAAGAATATTTTTTTTGTGCAAAAAACTAAAATAACAACTTTATTCAACTATTAATTTTGTTCTCTATGGGCCTCAGAGTGAGTTCATGTAGTGTAACAGTGCTTCTGGGTTGTATGTCACATGCATCACACACATGACCAGCGTCAGCCAATAGTGAGCCTACATTCTGACGTACAACACAGAAGCGTGAACTAACTCGAGGCTCACAGAGAAGAAAATAAATAGTTTAATGAAGTAGTTATTTTTGTGTTTTTTGCGCACAAAAAGTATTCTTGTCGCTTGGTTGAGCCACTGTAGTCACTTGGACTATTTTAACAATGTTTTTACTAACTTTTCTTGGCCGGCAAATTTCAATTCCCTAGCAGTCTATGGAGGAGTCAGACAGCTCTCAGATTTCATCAAAAATATCTTATCTGAGAAGCTTTCTACTATTCTGGACTTCTATCATCAGTTACAGGTCCAACCTGTTTTACATAAAAGTTCATTACCCTTTCTCCTTCCTATTGTATGGTGATAGAGCATTTCTGCATGTGTATTCATACACAGGTTCTTTCTGCTGTAGCATTGACTAAGTCATTTTCATATTTGTTATATTTTTGATACATTCAGAAGAACACTCATTTGAACACTGTTTGTGCTGCCATCTTGTGGATGTTGAAGTGCTTCTAGCATTTACCTACTAAGGAGCTTCCTGTTACAAGAAGCATATCAGTTTTGAATATGTTTTCATGGAACCCTGCAGGGTATATTTTGTTTTTGTCTCTCTCTGAGAACAAGTAAAAGTGGGAAAGTGGGCCAGTAGTTGTTCTAATCAAGGTGACAAATAATCGGTAGTATTACACAAATAGCTTACCTAAAACAATGGCTTCAGAACACTCATAAAAGAGCATATAGGTCGTAGCTTACATTTATATGTTTTTGTGCTTTTTATGTTGTTGTCTTTTTTGAAGCTTGACAGTGCCTAGTTCATTTTGCTCAAAGAGAGCTGCAGATTTAAATGACTTAAAACTATTACTTGAAGTAAAATGTAAAATTTTCTAGCATTTTTTGTTTTAACATTTACAATGTAAAGTAAATTTTAAATTTACTTAAATTTGGAAGGGGAAGGGCAAGCTGGGGACAGTTGTACTGTTAGAGAGGCCAGTTACATTTAGACTTATTGTTGTCATATTATTTTCTGCACTGCACTGCAGGCATAAACAGGCAAAATACTATGTTTATAATCATCCTGCAATGTATTTGCATTTCCATTTGTATTTTGACATTTGCATTACATATTCAGCATCAGTCAAATTAATAGCCTGGATGCCAGCCCGAATGAGTATGACGAAGTCAGGCTATCAAATTAATGATTTTTGTGTTTTTTTGCAAAAAGATCAGCAAATTATCCTCTAAACTGGTCTTTTTAGGGGGCTTTCCTCTCAGGGTGAATTTTACCTGATAAAATTGCGCCATATTAAATATATTATAAATAGTTTTTCCGCATGAGAAATACAATGTGTGACGGGAGTGCGTGACAAAATACCGAAATAGTGGCCGTCACGCTAGAACCGCCACCGTCACTTTGAGACTCACTTTTCCTTCAGAATATGTAACAATCTAGTAATATTATTTTCCTTGCTTTGGTTTTGTCAACAGAGAAGTATTTCCGAATGCAGCAGGATATTCATTGAGAAAACAATGTAAGGCGAGACTGGATTTTATCCTCTAGGAATTGATTGGATTGTGGATACTGGTTTCTGTTCATCAGGTGGTTGGAAAAGTTGTGAAAAACAGGATGGGTAACACCAGTCATCGTCTTTACATTCATTTACCTGAAAAACCTTTTTGTTCGTTGGAAAAATGTGCCCAATGAAACCACATTAATAATACTTAGGCCTAAATATGCTTGCAAAAAACGTTTAATTATAATACATGGCTACTTTTTAGTTACCATCAGTGGAAACTGATGCTTTTTCACCCTATAATGTTGAAAGCATGCAAAACCTTCGACTAGGCTACAATGTTTGGAAAGTCACTGGTTTTGATTGACTTAAAGCCCGGTGTGTTCACTAGAGGGCAGCATTTGCTAACCATACACTCAAATTCAGTCTGTATTCAATTTAGGGTGAACCCCAACCACACCCCTCCCGTTTTCCTCAAAATCACATGTTTAGGCTGATGTATGAATGAAAGAACTAATGCATGCGCTGCTGTGATTTCTCACTGTATTTGTCACAGTTTACCCTCTTTCAAGTTATCTGTGCTCAGCCCGACCGAGTGTCACATGGCAACTTAATGCATTTAGCACAGATATTCACTGCCTGTGATAAAGGAAACCACTATTCCAATGGCACTCCTCACTCTCTCATTAAGAGATTTCTCATGCTCATCTATTTCTAAGCCGGATTTTGTTGTTGTTAGTAGCATCTAAGAATTGTCTTGCAGGCTTAATTTCACACATTGAGTCCTATTATCTGTCACAGTTCAATTCATAATGCAGTACACGTATAGATTTCATTCTCAGCAAGTTGGCTGAAGTTAGATAAACTGTCATCATTATAGAGTGCACCAGTCGGGTTTCCAAAGTGAAAGTCCCATTCATGTTCTCCATTGGGAAATAGATTTTTAACAACCTATAAACCTTCGAGACAGACCTACTGTGAGCTACAAGGTTGTTGTTAATCAATGGAATGTGCTTTTGTTGATCCCGTCGGCTTGTATCATTTTATCTCATTTTTTAAAAATAATTGTGTTTATCAGCATGAATTCTTGGTATAAAAGTACATTAACCATGATTCTAGCGAGAAATTTCCACCAATCAGAGAATCAAAACAAGCAAACCTGCCCACTCCCATGAAGCACCATGGATGACGTGACAGCTCCCTACACTCGTAATCTGTGCGTGTGTGTCTATAGTACACATTTTTGTACTTTTGCTATTTGTCCGATTTTCAAAAACTTTTATGCTTCAAATCAAAAAGTTTGTAATGCCGATTCACCTCGTAGCTGGTTGGCTCGGTTGATGCCTTGTTACACTTTTTAAGTTCCCTATGGGAAATTTTTTTTTGGAACAGTAGCTTGCCGAAATCGCATACTTCCCTGCTCTAGCATACGAAAAACAGTATGTCCAAATTCACAGTACTGATGAAAGAGTTGGCAAAAAAGTACCTGGATGACCTTCTACTTCCAGCGAGATTCTGGTGTGCATAGGAAATTATATAGATTATAGAACATACTTTTTTTTAGCAGCCCGGAAGTAATTACTCAAATTCAAATTAAGTGCCTACTCAAGAGACTATGCGATTTCGGACGCAGCCAAGTGGGTGGTGGGCACGTGTTTGACCAGCTTCCTGATAAAGACATTTGAAAATAAGTATCGCCCTCTTGAGTATCGGATGCATGAAACACATTTTCTAAAAAGCAATAGTCAAAGGCTCCCTTTAAAAAAAAAAACTTAGTTGTGTACCTTTCTGGACAGCCATTTTAGGCATCATTCGTGATGAAAAATCTGTTACAAAAAGGTAGGCATTTTTCCGTCAGGCAATCCCAGAATGCACTACAACAAGCTCAGTGGGAAAACAAATTGAGAGAAATGTTGATTGTAAATATTAAACATGAAGAAAAAGCACTGACAAAAAAAAAACTAATTTAATTGATTGTTTCCTGTTCTGTCTAATTTTATGCTCATTAGACTATCAGTTAGCTTAGCAACATGCTAACACCAAACTCCCTTGAAATCAATTCTTGCTATTTTGCAGCCAATGTAGAGTGACTAAATCAGTCACTTTTGAGGGTCCATCTTGGTCAGGATGCTGTGTAGGCAGTGGAAGGGTTTTGCAACTGAGGCTTTGAGTCTCTTTTAAGAGAAAGAGCTAGTCTGAGGCAACCAGATAAAGACCTTCAGATGTGAAATGTACTTCTTAAAAATATGGCAGACAAATGGAGGAGACAAACGCAATACAATATATTGCACTGGCTGTAAATAGCTTTGTTTTTACTCAAAAGGGGCCACATTACCCATACTATCAGAACACAGCACAACGCCTCCTTGTGCAATGTAAATGTCAAACATGCTTTGATCTTTCTTGCGTAGACTGTAGTAGAAGTTATGTGATCAGTTTAAGCAGTATAACTGGCTTTCTTCTTTATGTGTGTGTGTTTTGGCTCTGTTGAAATTTATTGGCCAATTTTTTTATTTGCTTTATCACTCAGTGTCATGACGTCAACCGCATGGCTCTGACAGCAGTTTACAGAAAACAGGGCTGTTTTTTTGGAGGAAATATATTGGGGTGCTTACTTGTCCCAGAACGCTGTGGTGACTTTTGGCCCTTATGTTTTCAATGGAGGCACTGTGCGGTAGACTTGTTTTTTTCTTTTGCAGTAACTTTTTCTCAACCAGATGGTGTCAACAGATGTCAGATGGCTTTGAGATGTGTTTCTGTTTCTAGATTGACACACACACACACACACACACACAGCATTTCTCTCGGAAGAATCACAAGTCGCCAAAATCGCATAAACACAATGATGAGTGGGAGTTTCTTATCTAAATTGTTGTAACCTTTCTAATGTTCCTTCCTTTCCCCTGTCTTGCCATCTTTGTCCCGTCTTCAGTGTTTCAGGACGTTCTGCTGTAAAGGACCTCCCCCTCCCAGACCAGAATATGACGTGGTTTGCATCGGTCTGACGGGTTCTGGGAAGACCAGCCTGCTCTCCAGACTTTGCAGTGAGGCAACAGACAACATTGTCCCCACCACAGGTCAGCCCACCATCATAGAGCAATACCAGACGCGTCCTGCAAACACAGATCTTTGCACTTCCTCTTTGCCAAACACTTTAAAAACACCCCCCCTTTGTATTCAGATTTTACCTTGTGATTGTCTTTTAAAGGGAAACTCCACTGGGTTTTCATATTAAACTATGTTATTCCCTTAACTAAGACGAGCTGATGCATACCTCTCTCGTCTCAGTGCGTGCACTCTTTAGAGCACTTCAACTTGGCGCAATAATACCTTCACTCGTGAAAAGTCCTCTTACCGGCTCCCGCTTTGTCGCATGTCACGTTGGCTGCATTGACGGAAATAAGAGGGAGGGGGAGAGCGAGGAAGTGGGAGCCGGTATAGGACTTTTCACGAGTGAAGGTATTATTGCGCCAAGTTGAAGTGCTCTAAAGCACTTTTTTATGGTATTCCGCCATACAATATAGTCATCAATTTTAAACGCTTAGAAAAACACAACGTTTTATTTTGTGTCACCAGCCTAGGTCGAGTTACACTAATCGAGTAACTGTGTTTAAATAGGGAAAACGAGGAAGTGTTTGGTCGCTTCTCTTTTGGGCCCATATTTAATGCACTGGGCTAAGCTAAGTGCTAACATAGTTTTGCGGCAATACAGAGCGATAGAGTGCACGCACTGAGACGAGAGAGGTATGCATCAGCTCGTCTTAGTTAAGGGAATAACATAGTTTAATATGAAAACCCGGTGGAGTATCCCTTTAAAGAGTACTTGATTAAATCTCGGTCAGTGTAGCAATGGAGGTGTTTTTGTGAAATCCTCATGGCCGCGGTTGTTAATCTTGTTCAACTTTTATTTACAGGTTTTAGCATTAAAGCTGTCCCGTTCCAGAATGCCATTTTAAATGTCAAGGAACTCGGAGGTAAATGTTCTCTGTTTTTCATGAGAATACTACTTTTATTTATTTATTTATTTATTTTTAATCTTAATTAATGTATGGGCCAATGACAAATAAGAGTATCCACGATATAGAGAAGGAAAAAATCTTTTTAAATTGTTTAAAACACAGAGGCTACGTTTTTTGAAAATGTGTATATATATATATATATATATATATTTTTTTTTTTTTTCTGTTGCATATGGTTTTGAATAACACAGTAAAAGTGGCGGAATGTGGCGATTATGTAATAGGAGAGTGTGGCTCTGAGACTCCGCCTTCTTTAACATGGAAATCTTCTCCGGCCCACAACTTCTGTTCAGTCCCTCAAAGTTGGCCAACCGCGAATAAAAACATGAAAACAGCGGAAAGCCGTTTTATAGTAGAAAAAGCTTGGTACTCACATTTTAAAACGTAACGTTTTGAAAACGTAAAAATATTTTGGTAAATGGTAAATGGACTGCATTTATATAGCGCCTTCATAGACCTAATGGCCACCAAAGCGCTTTACATTTGCCTCACATTCACCCATTCACACACACATTCATACACCGACGGCGGTGTCAGCCATGCAAGGCGCCATCCAGCTCGTCGGGAGCAGCTGGGGTTAGGTGTCCTGCTCAAGGACACCTCGACACTCGGTCAGGTGGAACCGAGGATTGAACCACCAACCTTTCGGTCCGTAGACAACCCACATGAACCACTGAGCCACTGTCGCCATTTTATCGGATGTGCCTTTCGTTTACACGGCGACGGCGTTTTTGGGGCTTAAAAACGCAAAAAAGTGAAACCACCCTCCAGAGTGGAAATCTTTAAAACGCTCCACCGCCGCGTTCCTGTGTAAATGGTAAAAACGCAAAGGTCTGCTTGACAGTGAAGGTTGTACGCAGGCGCACGGCCTTGGTGTAGTTGTAGTTTGCACTTTTAGCCACCTGGAGTGCATACTACATTGAATTTCGCAGACTTTTACGTCACCATTTGCACGCGGATTTCACACCCAAAACGCTCGTCTAAACGCAGAATAAAAAGTGATAACGCAATGCCACTTTTGCGCTTTCTCTTCAGAATCATTTCCGTGTTTTAGCCTTATCCTGCAAGCTGTCGTCATCACTTTCCTCCTGACTGCTCTCTTCACTATAACACTTTGTTCTTTGTAGAAATTAAATCTTATCATCATGATTGCTATCTTACCAGAGATGGACATCCTACTCCAGTAAGTGAACTGGAAGTGAATGTCCCTTTCCCCAAAAATGTTAGTACTCAAAAGCGCTTCCCTCCACATTTTCTGTTGAGCATCATTTATTTTTACCACCTATGCACATCAGTTATGTGCACCTCTGTATATATGTCACATGACTTTACTAGATTGCAGAGCCTGTGCAAACAAACATCCATATCGCTTATGATCAGATGCTTTCTTAAAGGAGAACTCTGGCACAAAAATGAACATTTGGTCTAATTACACATTGGTACCTAGTCGACCGTTCTCTGAGATTTGTTTTCATGATAATCGAATGTAAGGAGTTTTATCTCTAAAAACTGTTTAGCGTATAATCTAGTATATGGGGGCATTTAATAAGTAAAAAGAAATCGCTTCTTAATACCACTAACAAGGCTCAAAATAGCCCCACACTAACACAGTAACATAATGAGGCTACTTACATGCAAAACGAAGCATTGAGAACTTTGTAAGTGTACAGACCGTTTAATAAGAAGATACGTTATAAAGACAGTTCACTTCGTGTACAGTTCACTTCACTTGGCACGTCATTCGTGGTTCGACTTGTCAAGACTGTTTTCTAAAGATGGCTGCTGCCTGTATACACGAAGTGAACTGTCTTTATAAAATATCTTCTTATTAAACGGTCTAGAACCAAACCAGACCATTCTCAGTTGTAACTGAGTTATGGTCTGGCAAAGCGTCATAGACAAATCATTTCTAGAGGGGTGTCACCAACGGACGTCGTGGGTAGACCTAAAACTAATCAGAGCAATGAAGGAGATGACGTATGCAGAGCGGCGGCCAGCGGAGACATCTCCGAGTTGTTCTTAGCTCGGTTTTTAACAAAAAGGAAACGTTCAAATCGCTTAAAACAGGCGCGATTGCTGATTCGAACGAGTGATGTTCGACGGCGGCATCCATCTTTGTGATGTAAGCTACAAAATCTGCAGCTCTGAAATCAAAATCCCAGCTCTGTCGTCATCGTGTAAAGCCCAACGTTTCTGATTGGTGACGCGATTTCGACGGATTGGAAATGGGCTTGAATGAGCTCTTCGCCTGACTAATTTTCAGAGCAAGTCTAATAAATTTGCCAGAAGTTGTCTGGGTTTTCCCAGGCTATGGGACATCAGTTTACTACTGGGGATTTGCCGTGCCGCATTTTACCGCATCAGTGTAGACGGTATCAATGTTTATAATGGGTATTGTCTTTTGTTGCGCCGCGTCACTCTGCTTGCATCCAATGTAGACACGGTGTTATTCTCACCAAAAATATGGTAAAAGCAGTTATACTGTGAAATATTATTGCAATTTAAAAGATCCATTTTCAATTTTAATATATATTAAAATGTAATTTATTCCCATGATCAAAGCTTAATCTTCAGCATCATTACTCCAGTGTTCAGTGTCACATGATCCTTCATAAATCATTCTAATATGATCATTTGATACTTATGAAACATTTCTTATTGTCATCAGCGTCAAAAACAAGATTCTTTGATGAATAAAAAGAAAGCACTTACCGGTATTATTATTATTATTATTACTGTGACCTTAATGTGTCCTTGCTGAAAAGTCTTACTTGCCCTAAACCTTTAATTGGTAGTGTATGAAGTACATTTAAGTCATTGTAAGTATTAATAAATTAATAGATCCATACAAAAAAATTAGTGAATATCTACAGAAACATTGAAACCATTATTTCATTATTTATGATGGAAGTGCTCTGTACAAGCCGTAATTCATTATTTATGATCTTTTGAAAAGTAATCTTTGGGAACACATCATCTGACACAGCTTGAGGAATATGAATGTTATTTGACACAGATGTGACATGAGGACCCGACCAAGGATACAAACACATTTCTTTGATGACTAATAGTTTTCTCTTCAAGGTAAATTGAACCCCAGGAAACGCCAGTGCTTGGATGCGGCACGCAACGGAAATGTTTCAGATGTCACTCGCTCACTGAACCCAGAGCCATCTTGGCCCGCATTTCCTTTTTTCTTAAGAGTGATGAGCTGAAGCTTTGAATCTGTCTTTAAAATGAGTGAGTGATGATAAGAATAAGAGGGTGTTGTGGATGCAGGGAACCCTGGGGGAAAGGAGGGACAGATAGGTGAGGAGAGACAGAAAGGAGGGACAGATAGGGGGGGGGGGGGGGGGGAGGGGGTCATGAAGCCTGTGTAGTTTTCACCCAAAGGAAAAATTCACCCAAAAAATTTAAATGCTAACATGATTTACTCACTTTCATGTCATTCCGAACTTTTATGCACTTTCATCGAACACAAAAGGATTTTTGAGGAACTAGTTGTATTTTTTAACGTAGTTGAAAAGCCAGGGTGGATATGAAGTATAAAGTCAACATTAAAAGTCAATTCATTCAATTCATCCATGTATGTTTCATTTATCAAAATGTCAAGACTCGATCTTAGGTGAAAATGAAAGGCTTATCTCTGATGACATATAGAGGACTTTCCAATCATTTAGTCCACTTAAAACCGCCTCTTCCCATTCAACTTCACATCAATTATTCAGTGCAATGCCCAAATTTCAAAATCCAATCACCAAACAATGGATGAACCCCATCCTTTTTTTTTCTTTTTCGATAATCTGTTGCACTCAGATGTACATCACAATATAGCAGAAAAGATCTGTCGCGAGCTTTAAATTTCAGCCTGTTCCTAACATAAATCTTAAGAGCATATAAGTTACATTTACCACATTCATGATTCTTTTATAGTGATTTTGTCTCTGTTTTGGAGTTTATTTGTATTCTGTCTTCACTTACTCACCCTCAAGTTGTTAAAAACCTGTACGAGTTTCTTTGTTACAACAAAAGAAGAAACTGTTCGATTACCAGCAATCTTCATCAAAATATATTATTTTGTGTTCACCAGAACCAACAAACTCGTACAGTTTTGTAGCAACTTGAGGCTGAGTAAGTGATGACAGAATAAAAATATTTGGATGAACCATCCCTTTAAGTTCCCATTTGCTTTAACTGCATGGAAGTGAGCAACCGGCACATTTTTCCTTTTGAGTTCTTCAGAAGAAAGTAAGTAAGTAAGTTATAAGTGAATTAATATTGGTATTATAGGTGAATTTTTGGTGAGAAACAACCCATACCGGGCGGGAAGTCATCTTTAAATTGATGAACCTCTGAATTCTCCTTGAAAAGCGGTATAATTATGTCCTATTTTCCTTTTAAGCACTTTGGAAACCTTTCCTCCAGACCTCCAACGAGTTCAGCTCAGTGTCAGGGGCCTGCGGAGCGCGACCTCTTTCCCCCCAAAAACATCAGTGTAGGGTTACGGCTGGGACATTAACCTTGAACCTGACGCGGAAGGCTCATGTCACACTTTATTGATGGAGGTTGTGTGCCTGCTTGACACGCTGGCTCTCCCGTCGTTTCCGCCACGGCCATCGAGACGGTTTACCGGATTCTTGTGTTATTGGTTAGTCTGCCCGTCTGGCCCGTGTTTTGGGTTTGCGTGAGTGATGTCAGGAAGCCAGGAGACGTTCAAAGTGCCGCGCTGTCTGTGCGCATTTCCCATCAGTGTCACGATGACACCCTGTGCGATCTGCCGGGCTGACAGGCGCACCAGAGAAGGGAGACCCACATGCTCACATTTACCATCTCGCAGCAGCCATCTGAAAGCACTTAGCAGGCTCTCTCTCTTTGTTTCCCTGGACCCCAGCCATGATGTAATGATTTCTGCGAAAATGTGCTTTAGTTGCATTATCACATTAGATTGTAATGCACCGGCCCGTTACTGATAAATGCTGTTTTGTTCCGTCACATCGTTCTCTTCTTAATGCACATGTTTATGCATTTGAAATGAAAGTAAACCTCTGTTTTTCAAAGCCCCAGACTCCACAAGACCTCCCACTGTTTTGATGTTACCTTCACAGCCAGTAGATGGAGACTTTGAGTAAAACTAAACCACAAAGAGATTGTTGATGCACTTTTGTGACTGATGGGACATTGTGTTTTGGAAAAACCAGGCTTTATAGGAAAGAAATATCAGGCTGTATATGCTAAGTAATTGTGCATTAATATTTAATTGTGCTTGTTAGAATTGCAATAGCAGATCAAACGCTTCTTAATTAGATGAGTCAGCCTCTGACATGGCCTGTCTGTGAGGATCCCAAATATTTATTGCGAGTCACAAATTGACTAAACATCTGCAGAAAACATTATTATTCCTTTGGCCAGCTATCGCAAGTTGTGTTTGCTATTGCTGCCAGGGTTGCGTTTGAGTGGCTGGAAAGCTGTTGCTGAATACCACAGTGGATAATACCTAATGAGAACTGGAAGTATTACATTGTACATCATACACAGCGATGATATCGGGAAGGCGAGCTCTGAAACTCAATCTGATAGGTGGAGGTTGTTTCCAAACATGAACCAAGACCTCTATGAACAGTTTTAGAGCTGATAATTTGGCGAGGCATGACTAAGAGCTCAATTTGTGGTGTGACAAAGGCTCAGAAGTTTGGAAGTGGAACCATTAAACTCGGGTCCAGTGTGTTTAGCGAGGGGGGGGAAAAAAAGGATTGCGCAGCTGCTTAGTGTCATGCAAACAGCTTATACGTCTTGGCCGAACTTCAAGAGCTTTGAATAAAGCTGTCGATTACTGTCTGGCATTGATTTTAAGACTCCACCTTTTCAAATAGCATTCGGTTTATTGATTCATACTTTAAGAAGAAAACGGAGAAATAAAGCTGCTTTTTCGGGTCCGTTATCGCAGGAGAAGATGCACACGACGCATGCTAATAATTAATACGGCGCGTTCCAATCAGAAAACTCACCATAACAAGAGGTATAGACACACTGGTCTCTGTTTTTTCATGGTTAGGGTACAGGCCCCGCCGTGACTCACTTTAACCAAAGCCATGCTGCGCTTGTGTGTCTTGGTGGCCACATTTTTGTACCCCCAAATTGCTGTGGACAAGAGAAACCATATGTTCACTGTAAAAGTGGGCCCATTTGAACTGTGCTGTAGACTGGCCATCAGAAGAAACCATTTTAATATGCTCTCAGGGTCGACTTTAAAGAAACACTGTTGCGTTGAGCGCTCTTCATTTGGACACGGCTTTTCCCACAGGCCTCCCCGAGCGGGAGTGCGAGTTGGCATGCGTTCTTTAAGTCATAAAAATACATAATGCAATATCCGCAGTGTGTTTTTTGAAAGGAGGTCGGGGTCCTCACCAAAATGCATTCCAGCAATGTTCGAACTGATACTGTGTCTCAACACGCTGTAGTCCGTTTCCCATCTCGGTCGCCAATATGTTTTTCTTTTCTTCATTGTAGTTTGGTTTGTTTTTTTAAAGCTTTACATTGTTTTCGCCTTGGGCACCATCTGATTTATGTCTGACAGGGAAACCACCTTTTTTTTCTGTGAAGGGGTTAATGTGTGCATTAAATGTTATGACTTCCTTGCTGCGTTCCTGACGGTGTGAATTTATGTTTTGTGTTGCAGGAGCGGACTCAATTAAAAAGTACTGGAGCCGGTACTACCAGGGCTCTCAGGGGGTGGTGTTTGTTTTGGACAGCGCTTCGTCGGAGGAGGATCTGGAGGTGGCGCGTACGGAGCTTCACTCGGCCCTGCAGCATCCGCAGCTCTGCACGCTTCCCTTCCTCATTCTGGCCAACCACCAGGACAAACCCGCTGCCCGCTCTGTACAAGAGGTAACACGATACATGCTTAACACTTCCCTTCCTCACCCTGGCCAACCGCCAGAACAAACCTACTGGCCGCTCTGTACAAGCCGTAACTTTACACTCGTTTAATACTCGTCTAATACTTCCCATCATCATACTGCCCATCACCACTGAGACAATCCTGCCGCCCGCTTTGTACTAGAGCTAACCTATTACTCTTTATACCTCCTATCATAATCATGACCACAAACTCCATACAAGAGGATATTTCTCCTAAAATGAACACTGAGTCATCATTTATTCACCCTCATGTCACTGCATATCTGTTGGACTGTCTGCAGAACAAGTAAGATGTTTTGTCAGTTATACAAGGACATTCGGTGGGGTGCCAAAAATTTATTATTCTTAACAACTTTTTCATCGCAAGTACCAAAATGTGTGGCTTACAGTGCTTATAGAGTCAAATACTCACAAAATTATGTGAAAATGCCCATCTTGGCAAGTATTCAGTTTTTCAGAGTCAGTTTTGGAATGTGAATAAATAGTTGAGAAAGATAACGCATGTTGTGTAACAGTATGTTGGATCTGTGCATAAACTCTTAAAGTAACCGCAGTCTAATATTCCTGCTGCTGTCTGTCATGTTAATCAAAGAACAAAAGACAAAGAAAATCACTCTCTGCTCTTGAATAACTTTTATAACTTTAATTGTATGCATTAATTTGTTTTTCATTTTTACAATCAAGACTGTCCAGTGTTATCTTACATTTGATTACTTTTATTTCTGTAGTATTTCTTACATGAAAACTGTTAGACCCACCGGAAAATCTCAAAGCCGTGTTTTTTTTCTTTTCATCTCTCTTTATCCTATCACATTTACTTACATTTACATTTAAATTCATTCATTTAGCTGACGCTTTTATCCAAAGCAACTTACAATTGCTGTATATGTCAACTTACAATTGCTGTATATGCAACTAGGGGTTAAGTGTCTTGCTCCGGGACACATTGGTGTCTCGCAGTGGATTCGAACCCGGGTCTCTCACACCAGAGGCATGTGTCTTATCCACTGCGCCATCACCGCCCCGTATTTGTGCTGTTGTTTGCAATTAAAATCTGAATCGGCCAAGAAAAGTGCAATCGGTGCATCTCTAGTAGTGATGCATAAAGCACAGCTCAAATGAATGTCACTTTCAACCAATCAGCTTTGTGCTGGTCAACACAGCAATTTCACACGGCCAATTTGCGAAATCTGCGTAAGGAACTTTTCACCATCATGCGAAACTCCCGATCACACGGATTTCTATTAAAATTACTGGATTTCGCCCACAACAACGGTAAATGTGACCTCACCTTTATACCTTTGGTGAGATAAAAACTTGTAAGATATTGTAGATTTTAAACGATAATGGCATTAGCCATTGCTCCGCTTAGGAAGGTGGTGTTGTGCTGTCGCAGTTTTATTTCCGCAGGATTCGCTTGTTGTTTGCAAACACTGAGAGGCCACAAGACATTCTCCCACAGATCTGCAGCACCCAGCTTACCCACTTTCTCAGGCTTTCCTGACAATAAGTCTTTGTATTGTTGGGAGCCCAAAAATACTGGTGGTGTGGCGAAACACTACAGCTGTTGTCCCATCTCATAAGAGTGTATTCATTTTACCAATTGCTCTATTTAAGATTCTGTCAAACAATGTTTCAAAAGCAAGTGGCATCAAAATTAAGATGAATTGCTGACCGCTGTTCGTAACGGCAAACAGTTGGAATGCAAGGCATGTCTCTGCTGTCACATTTCTATTTTAATGGTCCCCTTGTCACTTTTATGTTTGGAGGATTGTGTTACGTCTTTTCCTGAATGATTTGGTGTCTGTGTGTTATTTGGCTGATACCATGCGCGTTGGTTTGTGTGTGAGTGTGCATGCGTGCACATCTGCTCCGAGTGTAGAAATCAGTCCGCGGGCTGCAGGGTATCACCCAATGCACAGAGCGCTAATTAACTGGCTGAGAAGTGGTCCTGAGTGAGCAGTAAATATCTGCCTTTGGAGACCAACACATCCCTGTTCACTGATGTGTGTCAAAACGGGGCTTTTCAGTTGGCAGCGACACTCGCTTTCCTTGCTGGAGATGCAACTTGGGTTACACAAGATCGGACCTGACCAGCTTGTTTTCCATTTAATTGCTCTCAATTGATTTCAAACTGGATCAGATCTCTTGGACCTCCTATGGGCAGTTTTTTTTTTTCAAAGAAGAAAAGATCCTGAGTTCAGAAAACAGAAAAGGAACTGGACAAATATTTTTGGTCATTATAAGGGATAAAATGTCTGCCAGCTTTATAAAAACCAAATCTGCAGGGCTGTGGACTTGAGTCGCATTACTTGGACTTGACTTGGATTCGATTCCCAATTTTGATGACTTGCGACTCGACTTAGACTTTGACAACAATGACTCGCGACTTGACGCGGACTTGAGCCCTGTGTTGGAAATGCTTGACCTACCTTCTAAAACCACAGAGTTGTAATTATCACTGTAGCATAGCACTGTATCACTGTATCTACGTAGAAGCAGTTTTTGTAAAAATAGGCTAACGATTGCGTCATGGACTGGAGGAGAAGCTCTCATGCATAAAGTCGGATAAAGTCGAGGGAGAAGCCCATAGAGAGTCATAAAGTTGATCCTGCTGCTAGCTCATGGACAGCTAATACTCACTCTCCCCGTCTCTGTGAGATTCGGAAGGGAATTATTCAGATTTCACTCGCTACTAGAAGACATACAGGTTGGTCACGTGGCAGGCTCCGTTTGAGCTTGTGCAGTATGCCTGGCTATCAGCTTTTAACAGGCTTCAATTTTCTCTGTTGAAATCAATGGGGTCGCTTTGTCCATTTCTTTTACTGTTTATGAGTAAATCGAGGAGAGAGTTTCCCCACTGCGTATATGTGACGTTTACATCAATCTCATTTTCCAATCCCTTTTATTTAATGTTAATTGGTCACTGCTATTCTTTGTGGCAAAGATTCAACATGGTGCTGGAAAATTTCCTCAGAGATTTTGTTCCATATTGACATGATAGCATCATGCAGTTACTGCAGATTTGTCGGTTGCACATCCATGATGTGAATCTCCAGTTCCAGCACATCTCAAAACTTCTCTATTGGATTGAGATCTGTTGACTGTGGAGGCCATTTGAGTTTAGTGAACTAATCGTCATGTTCAAGAGACCAGTTTGAGATGATTTGAACTTTGTGACATGGCATGTTATCCTGCTGGAAGTAGCCATCAGAAGATGATGGACATGGTCTGTCAGCAACAATACTCAAGCAGGCTGTAACATTTAAACAATTCTCAATTGGTACTAAAGATCCCAAAGTGTGCAAAGAAAATATCCTCCACACCATTACACCACCAGCAGCCTGAACCGTTGATACAAGGCAGGATGGATCCATCCAATTCTGACCCAGCCATCTGAATGTCGCAGCAGAAATCGAAGGATCAGGAAACGTTTTTCCAATCTTTATTTGTCCAATTTTGGTGAGCCAGTTTGAATGGTTGCCTCAGTTTCCTGTTCTCAGCTGACAGGAGTGTCTTCTGCTGCTATAGCTCATCTGCTTAAAGGTTCAGACATGCTCTTCTGCTGACAACGAGTGGTTATTTGAGCTAATGTTGCCTTTCTTTAAGCTTGAACCTATCTGCCCATTCTCCACTGAATTCTGGCAATAATAAGGCATTTTTGCCTACTGTACTGCCGTTCACTGTGTCTCTTTTTCAGACCATGCTATTTAATCCCTAGAAGTGGTTTTGCATGAAAATCCCAGCAGATAGGCACTCTCTGAAATACTCAGACCAACTACGTTCAAAGTCACTTAAATCTGCTTTCTTCCCCATTCTGATGCTCAGTTTGAAATTTTGCATTGTTTTGACCATGTCTACATGCCTTAATGCACTGCCATAAGATTGGCTGATTAGATATTCGTGCTAACGAGCAGTGTACTTGGGACAACGCTGCATTTGTCATATGGGCTACAAGTGTACATAGCCAATAAGAAACTGCAAAGCAGTCTTGCTGTTAAAAGTCGTCTTGAAATACAATCCTCCCTCTATACTACTACATCTGCACACGATAGTCTGTGGAGATCTTTCAGGTCGTTTTTCATTTTTGCCAGATATAAATTGCTAAACGTATCAAATTGTGGTCTGCCTCGCATTCTGGTTTGCATGGACGTGGCCTGTACGCCAGCATCAAACTGTTTTGTTTTATATTTCAGGGTGCGAACTGTGATGGATCATCTGTCTTTCCCCTGGATGACCATTTCATTCCAGTAAACCAAGAAATCCACCCATGTCAAGAGTTTTCGCATATAATTAATTGCTAGGGACCCTCATATTTTAGGATCCCCCTGGAAAGGACCATCTTCATAAAATATGCAGGCAGCTCAGCTGTATATTTTCATGTATGCATACTCATTTAAACTGTGTTGAAAAATAGCAAGAGTCATTTTTTTTGTAAAAATTAATGATTAGGTTTTCTTTTTTATACTAAAACCTAAATAAATTATTGAAATGTTATATTGAAAATATTTAAATTGAAACATAACACTTGTTCAGCAATATTAATGATTAATGTCATTTCATAGCTGATAGCTCTACAAAGTTACAACAATAATACCTCCATCATTTACAACAAGGAAAATGTTAAAATGCCAAAAGAGTAGTATGTCCGAATACATAGTATTCGAAAAACAGTGGGTGAAAATACCTCGGATGACCTACTACTTAAGCCGCACTTCAGAAGTGCGCATTCGATGGACTTACTATCCCATGATTTATGAATGGAAGTAAAACAATGCAACTGACGCTGGTAGGTCGGATGACAGTAACAACATGGCTGATGTAGTACTGTATGTCCATATTTCATATACTATAGAGAGTCAGACTGGTAACCCGAAGATTAGTTTAGTTTTATTTCAGGAATACATGGCCTTTCAGCCCATAGTTCCAAAGTCACAATAGCATGACAGATGCTCTTTTTTTTTCAT